ACTCTGCTCGGACCTACAAGAGAATGATCCTCAAAGGTCTGAGTTGGTCTTAGACACCTACTGGTGCTTACACGGAGGTCTGTGTCCAATGTCACACTGTACAGAAAGATGCTCATGTGTCCAACTCCCACCCAGAGTTCCCGCTCCCGTACAGATGTCTCTCTCTCATCCTAGAACACAGCATGTAGTAATAACCTGAAAACCTTATATAGTTATTCCCACACACCAGACACTGTCCTATGCATCTTTCACACACCATCTTATTCTTACACTGATACCCAGAAGATAAACACTATTATTCTAAGTTTTAAAATGAAGCAATCAAGGCACAGAGTGGTTAAGTAACTTGCCTAAGATCACACAGTTATTAAATGTGAGATCTTGGAGCAGAGCCAGCAAGTCTAACCCTGCATTGCCTCATGGATTCTCAGTAAATGTTTCTTTGACTGATCTGAACATTATTCAGCTTAGAGGCATTCATACAAGCATATGGAAAAAGGATAGTCTTAAAGGATTATCCTTCAAAGGATATAAAGGAAAAGAAGAGTTTTAAAACCTTAGATGCTTAAAATTCTCTCAGGACAAAGAAAAATGACAATAGGCAAAGTTTTCTAAAAAGAATATCAATAGCTTTGATTTGTACATTCCACAAAGTTCCACTTGACTGCCAAATGCCTCTCCAAGCACCAAGTCTCCTTAATCGTATATGAGGAACGGCTGTCTTTGAGAAATCAACTTGACCATTCACTTACTACATATTTCTGTTTAAAAATCAGAGGCTTTTAAATGTAAGGTCAATGAACTTTTTTATTTCCCTCTTCTTTTTTGATTTGCTGGCATCAGCTATGGAGGGCTTGAGTACTAACTTGTTATCTTTGAAATAACTGCTGTCTGCCAACATCCATCCCCACCATCACTCTGATTAAGCAGTAAACACGACCAGAAAATATGACCGCTGTTAGTACCTCAGTGGCTTTAACACAGGGCAGACTTGTTTTAAAGTTTCTCATAAAGGCAGGGACCACTGAAAGTGAAAGGGAAAAAATTTAAAGCAACAGAGACTAGGAGGAAGTGATGTATTACTGAACTTTAATACCCTTGTGTTTACAAAAGGAGCTTAGCATGAGGCCTTTGGAGGGAAGAAGTCCACTGTGGTGAGAACCAAGTCTACAGTAGGAGGCGGGACACACACCGAACAGAGTAGGATGCTTAAGGGTAATTCTGCAAATATGCACGAAAAGAAAGTTCTTAAAAAAATCCACACAAAAAACTTTACACTACAACAGTTGTCCCCACAGTAGACATTGAAACAATGGTCCTGATGACACTGATGACAATGACACAGTATTAATGAATAAACAAAATAAAGAGCATACATGCCTAACCGATTTTTGTTTATTTTCCATTTAAAAAAGGTTCAAACAGTAGTAAAATCGGAGACATTGTTTTAAAATAGTGGCATCTGGTCTGAGGGTAGCTGTGGCTTAAGCAGGTAAATGTGGCCAGAGAGAAGACACAGTGGGTGACCGAGGCTGCCCTGGGGTTAAACGCCCAATGCTGGAACCTCTCCCTGAAGCTGATGGGGAATGTGTGTGGACACAACCCTGCCTGACAGTCGTGTGGATTTATTACTTGTGAGAGAAACCGGAAACTATCCTGAGTGCAACACTCCACTTGGCTTAGAGCAACGGTGGCGTATGACTTTTTGAAGATGCCACGGTTGACCAGGAGTTAAAGTTCAGATTCAGAAAACAGTGCTGAAGATGTACGTTACCAGGGAAGAAGACTTTCCTAGTCTAGGGGATTGCTTTCAACTTGACCAACAGTGTGGACGTGAACAACACCAAAAAGAAAATGGAGATGACCAAAAAGGAAAACAAAGGTGTTATTCAGAAAAAAGTTAAGGAGAATATGAAGAAATGGAAGAATCTTTAGATAAGAAATAGAGGCTCGGCGCCTATAGCTCAACCGGC